AACGAAGGTACTTACCCTACCATACATTTTCAGCTAAATTTGAATTTTTAAAAATGATAAATTTTGATCCTATTTCAAAAATGAAAGAACATTTTTGCACGGAATTAAATTGAGTTTAAGAAACTTCCACATTTCAAAAAACTTTCGATTTTCCGAATTTTCTGGCCTGTAGCATTTTTTCAAAATTCCGAAATAGTATAAAAATTTTAATCGTTAATAGTTTTTCGAAAACCAGTTTTTATAAATTTTATTGAAATAATTTTTTAGCAAACATGTTCTTTCATTTTTGAAATAGCGTTAAAATTAGAAAATTAACAGCTTTTTGAAAAATCTTTATTTGGAACATTCAGAAAAATGAAAATTACGGGTCGGGTTATTTCGGTGTTTGGTAAAAATTTAAAATTGGTCGGGCCCAAATTTGAGGGAACCACTTCATGCCCACGCATTTTAAGCTTCAACGAATTACGATGTAATTCGTATGCGAGAATCTGTATATTTCTCCCTCATGAGTAAAATTTCATAATAAAAATGGAAATTGTCGCTGACGGATTCCGTCATAATTTCATTTAAGCTGAGCATTATGAAAAATCCTGAAACAAGTGCTTAATTATTACTCTTTACATACACAGAATTTCCAACAATCACACAAGATAAGTATAAGAGAAATATGCCAACTGTTGAGAAATGTTGGTGTCAGGTAATTCACACATATCGGAATTGTAAGTAAAAACGCGTAGGCCTGAAGTGCTCCTCTCCAACTTTTACGCTACAAATTTTAAATTGCTTAAGGACAGAAATAAGTCGACCCACACTTTTAAGTTTTCTTCAATATGCCTAATTTCCTTTTATCTGAATTTTTAAATGAAGTGGAAGTGTGAAAGTTTCAGCTAAAATCAGAATTTTGTATATGAAGTAAAATTCGAAAGTCAAACTATTAACATTGAGGGTATTCATTATTTCTTCGTATCCTTAGTATTCTTCGTATCGTAAAATAACTTACGACGCTTACGAGATTTTGTAAGCGTCGTAAGATTTTCTCATCGAAAATCACGTTACTACGCTTACGATTTTTACTAAACCTGACCCCTTGTTTTTCTTCGTAAACTATTTTACGATACTACGGATACGAAGAAATAATGAATACCCTCATTAAAAATTATACATTATGTTTGCTCTAAATTCATACAAAAGTGTAAGGCAAAGAAATTCATACAAAAATAATTACATATGAAAAACGAATAAGATCAAACAGTTTAATGTTAGATGTAAGAAAATGTATTTACGTGGAGTATTTTTTTGTAAAATCTTCAATTCACAAAAAGTCCATTATATCTAGTGTAAAGCTTGCGACCTGGCCCGGGCTCTTACGGGCCCCGGGCCTGGTATTTGGTACCACAATATACCACGGTTGGTACGGTACTGCCCCCCCCCTCGAATGTACATACATGTGACTTTACCAGTGGGTATATAATTACCACTCTCTCTTCTATACTCCTGCGAGCCTCATTGTAGTATTTATACACATACACTGTAAATAATCTGGTAATAAACATTACCGAAAAGCACAAGTATAGTGGATCTACTAAATAGTGGATCACTTGGTAACTTTATTAGCCAAGTGGTCAAAAACAGGTTTCGAAATCTGAAATTCTTGCATAATATTCCAAGTATATCTAATTTTATACATCCGCGGACAAAGAAGACTTTAATCTATTATCCATGTCGTATTTACCCTTTTTCCTAACCTCCGCCGTTAGTGCTTTTCTGGAAGACTTTGCAACTTCATTGCTAATTTTCTCCCACCGGAAGCAAAACTTTCTTGAATTATCGACTGTTTCGCAAAGCTAGGAGTATGCCTTCTTACACATAGTCGACATTTTTTTATTGAGCGAAGATGAGGGATGCATGTGGGGTTTCCATTTTTCGACGTCTAACTGAATTTTTTTTCGATTTCTTCCTTAATACTTGTTGAATTGTGGATTAGTCCAAGGTCGGTCCACAAAATTACATTTTATATTTTTTGATACTCATTGATGAAAGGAATCAGACGGACTGTCACACATTTCTGAAAACAAACCTGTGCGTCCCCACAGCCCTTCTAAAATGAGGGGTCCAGAACACGCCCAAATTTAAAGAACGCCAGCCAAACCTGAGATTTTTTGAGAAATTTCGAAAAACATTTTAATTTCTCTTCGGTTCTCAGTTGAGAGACACATTTGCCATGAAAAATTGCCTTTCCGGAGTTTCTGTCGCGTTTTTAAGGACGTAGGACTCGTCATGAATGACCAACTTTTTTCGTAAACTTTTGTTGCAAAGCTTCAGAGTTGGTGTGGTTACCATTTTTTCTTCAGTTCACGTACATTTTGCTGGAGATTTCTTTACATACGCTTTGACCCCCATTTTATAGGCCTTAATATGGTACAAGTGGTTTGTATTAATCTTTGACTTCATGGCAGCATCAGGCACCGACGTGGATGGAGCATTTTCAAAAAACTGCTCAATCGTTTTTAACTTTTGAGGGGTCGATATGATGGTTTTTTTCAAATGGTGGTTATTTGAAGCTTACATTTTCGGATTCTCCATACTTTTTATGTATGTCTTGATTTTTGCACGGCAATACCCAACTCCGTTGAAATGTACTCAGGTCTTCTTCGAGTCTTTGTCAATCAAATTCTGATACTTATCCAAAACTTGTTTCCCGACTTCTTCGCTTTGAAATCTTGTACGAAATTTATTTTCCATTCAAAACTTATGAAATTTTTGTGGCATGTGGTTAGATATATTTGGCATATTGCCCATCACTTTCAGATTTTGAAACCTATTTTTGACCACTTCGCTACTAAAGGGTTCGGATTTATTTTCTCCCCACTTTTGCCAGTTAAAAAAGGTAAGCTAATTTCTCAAAACGGAGACACGCATGGAATCCAATTTTTTTTCTCAAACATACCTTAGTATTTGGTCTTTCGATCACCCACGTTAGCCGCGTCCACAACTCTTTAATTGTCGCTAAGTACTCATTTTTCCAAAGTGGTTCTCGATATGTGATTGAACTTTGCTTAAATTTTCATTGTTAGCTCTGTTGTTATCCGTGGTTTTGGATCTTTATGCATATCATACTTAAGTATGGGTCATAGGTCCTCCAAAACCCCAACATCCGGATTTTTATCGGACCACACCCCTTCGCTCCAAACCGTTTTAGCATGCCCTTTGGAAAGCAGCATGGTAGTTTTTGCCATGTGGGTTGCACCACCATCTTGCATGAAAAGTACTGACTAACATATGGAATAAATTCCTTGCTTCTCATGCTATCAAAGTATTTTGGTTGCATTTGCGCTATAAAATTCTTCGCATTTATTTGTGCTATATTTGTGTAATACGAACAGTTGTCACGCTACGCGCAAAAAACTACCCGCTACCATAACTTTCGATACACATTATGAAACACTCATGGGTGGTACAGGCGACTTTTTTTCGGTTTTGTATACCATATGTTCTAGGTTCAATTCTGGATATGGCTCATTTGAGAATTCATTAGTCCTGAGGATATGACGCCATAGTTCTTGACCTTGCTTTTTCTCACCGAAATCGCCACTTTTTGGGAATATTTCCCCAGATTTAAGACGGTCATCAATGTTCCTATGACATGTGAATGTTTCCTGGGTTAGTTTATAAGCAATGTAACTCTAATTCGTCGACTTTGTAAACTTTTGAATTGTAGCATGGGAAATTTGCATGTTTATAACTTTTAGTCGTTTTGAGTCAATTAACTCTTTTCAACAATTAAGTACACAACTTTCGGTTCTTCGTGAATCTTGAGCTGAATTGTTGTAGTTGTAGTAGCTGACATCTTACTACATCGCTTAGACTAATTTTTGTATATGACAAAATTTCTGCTCGTCCGTAGTCATACAGTTTTTCGGATGCTTCAAAATTTTTCCGATTTTTTTAAATGTTTAATTGCTGCACAACTAAACATTTTATCAAGACTCTATGAAGGTCATAATCGACCTATGGTATTGGACTACTCATGGTAAAATTTTCATTAATAAGCATTAACGGGTTCAGAAATAACAGCTGAATTTGTGTCTGCGCGAGTAGTGAAAACTGACTGGGGAGAAAATAAATACGAACCCTTTAAAAGCACCAAGTGATCCACTATTTAGTAGATCCACCTTATATGACTCTACCAAAGTGGTACTGATATGTTGTATCCTTTGGTAATGGCTTGGTAATAAAGTTCTTCCATCATCGTAACGATTTTTTACTACATGGTAAAACATTATTACCAAATTTATTACCGATAAATCATTACCGGCTTATTAAGAGTGTATACATACATACCTGAACATTTGCATATGCAGATAATCCGAACCACTTCAGTAGGCAACGTTCCTTCTTATCTTCTTGGTTCCAGTGGGCTTATCAAACATCAGGAATTATGTAAATACGTATGTATGTACATATGTACATGAGTTCGTTGGTGCATGACAATTCAGTTTCTGGCCGACACCCATTTTAAGTTGAACACTTTCACGAGGGTAAAACTATTTGTAAAAATAATTTGGAATACGTGTAATTTTTGGAGGAAAATTACAATGGCGGAGGATTACGTACCATGGCCTAGAGAAGAAGTTGCGAAAATATCTTGTAAGTACATATTTACATATGTTGTGAAAATTTGTGTCTTTTGTGATTTTGGTTGATGTTAGTTAACTAACATTCGTTGGGGAGGTAACGCCGCTAGTTTTTTTAATGTACTTTTTTCTGTGCTAACAACATAGCTGCGTTTATCGCACTCAATACTGTCGCACCTATTCGTGGATATCTTTGCCCCATAGAGAACGACGTGATTGCCGTTCTTGTCGCCGGTTTCTGCTCAATTTGTCTCATTGGATACTATCGGATGGAGAACAAAGAAATTCAACAATTTCACAAACCTTTAAGGTTTGAAATAGGTTGACAAATTTGCCAAATTTACTGGGTTAGGGGAGATGGATTGGTCGTAGTTTATCTATAAATGTTTACGTGAATAATTGAGACATGTTTTTACTCCATCAAATATTTTATATTACTCGAACTCCTTAAATTCATTCGCTATGAGGAAATACATACGAGAGTTAAAATTTAAAATTTTGGATTTTTCTGGTCAAAATAAAATGTTCAGTTATTAAATTTTCCATCTATTTATTGTAACATATTTATCTCAGATCATAAAACTGGTTAAAATATTATCACCTAATTACGAACTTAGGTATGTACTTAATTTTGCATAGTTTTTTCCCATCTAGAAATGAATTATCATTAACACATCTTATAATTTCTAACTTAAAGATATCTACATATAAATCAGTATTAAGTGTTAAATAAATAAATCAATAATTAAATAAATAAATCAATAATTAAATCAATAACTAAATAAATAAATCAGTGTTAAATATCGTATACTATTTAATTTCTAACCTTCAATTTCTACAGTAACACTCGCATATCAAATTTTCAACCTCAGATTTCAACCTCAGAGTATACGGAACATAAGCTCCTACAGAAGTGTAGTCATGAACTGGGTTCCATAAATGCTCAGCATTTCCAAGGATGCGAATCTTCACCTTTTTGCTGTGGCCCAATACCATACATAATTATCCATCATATTATTGTTATCTGCATATTATATAAAAAAACATTTCGATTAAATAATTTTGCAGTCATACACGTCACGAATTTTGGTAAATAATTTAATACAAATTGGTAACTTTATACTACAAAGTCGTAAAAATTATTACCAAAATGGTAAAGATTTATTACAAAATCTTTACCAAATGTAGTGCGCGTCTCTGTATAGTCATATACGTTACGACTCCGGATTATAACCAAATTATTTGCAGTGTAATAACAATTACAAACAAATTGTGCATGGCATCATTTTCGCTTTGCTTACCCAATCCATGGATGGATATCAAGACACGTAAATCACGTGATGTAATCATATACTCGAAAATGTATATTTGTAGGTTTAAATAAATATACAAACTATTTAAAACTTTAATGTATCCCAGGACACAAAATAAATTCATGTAATGACGGGAGGAAGAATGTGCAGGAAATTTGCAAATCGGTCAACAAACAAACTATCTGAACTTACCATTTGATTTATTTTTTCGTCAGATTTTTCTGCCTTCACAAAATATTATGAGGTTTCAAGGAATCTTTGAGAAGGTCCCAAAATTTCAAGTGTGTAGACATATCACAAAAATATGCAGCACTAAACTCTTAATAAAATCAATAATCGACGGTATATGTGACTCTACCGCGTAGTATTGATCTGGTATTAGGTCTATACTACGTGGTTAAAAATCTAATACCGACTAGTATTGAAAATAATACTGTCAAGTATTATTTTAATACCGAATTTATACCAGCTTTCAATTCCAACTCGGTAAAGTCATATATGTATACCACACGGTATTGAATCAATCCCAGCTTTCTAAGAGTGCAACTATTTATAATTGTAATTATTATACAAACTTCTAAAATCTAGCTATTAATACTAAATCCATACCCTTCTAAATCTGAAGGTTACGGGAAATGGCAAAAATGTTAGGTCTGTAACGAACTTTTCAGTCCTCACCGTCGACAGGCTTCAGTGAACAGTCATCAAAAAGGGGTTTCTTTAACGACGGTGGACCTCTTCCCTTTTTTCATGTAAACTGAATTCCTGCGCTAAAATTAATTTTTAAAAAGATAAATTCTACCATGAGGTCTAATTTTGAACGGTCATTCAGGGCACACATGGTCAGAGAAATTTATATGGCACTTTCAATATGGGGAGGGGAAAAATATTAAATTACTTGTGCAAGATGTACAGGCTGCCAATCGGGATTCAAAACACATTGAGCCAGCTTTTTACCCAAGGGAATCACGGAGTAAGCCCCGTCCTTCCTCAACCTCAACTCGAATGTGTCGAATGGAAAACTACTGTTGTAGATCCCACGCTACATACAAATAAATTAATTTAGTGCAATAATTCTAAACTACACAAATATCTATCCACATACGTACCTCAACTTTCTCGCTGAATAGGGAAAATGCATTCCGTAAATCATCCGCCGTCACAACGAAAAAGTGGTGAACCTTCCGGAGCTTGGGCTGCTTAAATGTCCTCATGAGATGGTAGGCAACGAAGGCATTATATTGGAACAGCTTACTACGATAAAACTTGTTCCAGCTCTTCGTGTCTTTCGGTACAGACCCAGGGTCAACGCAGTGTCTCATGAGAAATCCGCCACTTATGTGATTATAATTTTTTACGACGGGAGGTGAAGCCGGGACAAATAGGAATGTTAGAACTACGACAGCTACCACAAACAGAAAACCAATAATTCGATGGAAGGGGAACATTTTGGACTCGATTTTTTGAAAGAATGTGGCAGGGATTCTTTCTTTTATACTTTTTCAACCGACATTAGCAGGAAGTTAACAACAAACTTTTCTAATCTATGCTTACTGTTCTCACAGGAAGCAAACTTTGATTATTTTGGACCTTGTATTTTCGTCACTTCAAATAGTAAACGGTTGTATTTATAACAGCGGCATGTTTACATTTCCTGTTGGTTAGCCGGTATATTTATGTATGTGCTGACTTGCTTTGTGTCTGAGTTTTGTTGTAAACAGTTAATCCCAGTGATGATACATATTTATTTAATCATGTTTTGATTTCTGGTATGCATTGGGATATTTTATTATACTTTTTTCCATCGTCTGACATATTATATGTGTGGCTCTTCTTATCTAACTTCGCTTTCCGCGGTATTTACATATGTCCAACGAAAATCACCACTGCTTGCTTTCTATGTAGAGAAGACGTCTAATTTATATTATAAATATAGGTCAAATCTGAATTATTAAATAAGAACGTAAAAAACTAAGATCTCATCATCTCTTTTGGAAACAAGTTTAGACAAGTTTCTACACTTGTGGGATACTCTTGGTGATTAGTGTTTTAGTTTTGTTTGGAGAAATTGTGAGGCCTGTTATACCAATAATGCTTATCTCTGACGCTGATAAGCACTTAATCCTCACAAAAACTCACAAGCAATACAACCTCTTCAGAAAGATGGATGACGGCTTTGCTAGCGTCATCCATACACATTCATACACCATTTTTGATTGATGGAACATGATTAAATTCTAAATCTAAAAAAGATTGCTACATATATTTCGTATTTCATAAAGCATAACAATACTGTAATAAAACATTACTTTCGGCCACTACATCTCATTTGTATGTACATACACCCCGAATTCGGGTTCAGTACAGAAATTCACAATTTTACAGCTAAAAGTTAAAAATTTCCTTGTAACCAAGTTAAATTGGGATAGGATTTCCCATGTTAAAATTGGTGTTTTTTTGGGAAAGTGCCACCACCACCTCCCAAAAAAACTTTACAAACTCAAAATTTGTATCAAAATGCCTTCTGATAGTTGTACTACCAAACAAACTTAATTTTATAAAAATCGACCCAGTGGTTGATTTTTTAGAGAATTTTAAAAGCCTAAATATATCACTTGAACACACTGTATTTCATACCAATGGATTTAATGTGTTCCCATCCTTAAATCTCACTCTTTTGAAAAAAATATTTGGTTATAACATACTTAAAAATAACTAGGATTGAGCGATTGCATAAGACATTTTATCTTTATTTTATATTTGTAACTACTCTGCAAACTTGATATGATTGTTTAATCGGCTTAAATGTAAATGATCCTCTCAACATTTCTTTTCTTTGATTTTGTAACCATTTTCAACCGTCAGACCGTCTTGTTATCCTAATTTAATTAAGACTACCCTGTCCTACCTTGAACTCAACTCAATATCTACAATTTCCTCCTTCTTTTCCTTGCAACTCTCCCAATGCTCATTGTCCAAGTAGGACGGTTGGTCCGGCTAGTATTTTTGTAAGGTACAATTTCTAATCCGACCAAGTAAACCACAAGTAAAAGTAACCAAAGTCGCGTCACACGAGGATCTCATTTACCACCCGTTTTAATAATTATGCTTCCCCTCTCAGCACATTGTCCAAAGCTAAATTAAGGGGCCCGACTTTTTAATTATGTACGGATAATGTGTCGTACTAAGATGTTTGGGATCAAATTTTGCTCTAGGAAGTAATATTTTAGAAAGTTTATGGTGCTTTATAGTTAAATTCTTTAGTAATAAAATCGATCAAATTGATCCAAAGCTTATACAGTTGTGAATTAAATTAAGTACATACACTTAGAATGAATCAATATGTGACATTATATCGATTATTTATAATTAATATGTCCACCCCCTAAAATCAATATTTGTATCTGCAATCAAACATTTTGGTTAGTTTTGGAACCGGTATCAATTCTCACGCATTTCTCTCCGATTCTCTCAATTGCGCAAAAACGATCACGAACGACACTACAGTACTAATTGTCTAAATAAGTGAAATAAATACAGTCATCAAATAAATATGTTGAAATACGAAATAAATTTTTTCAAACTTACCGTCGTAATTAGTTTTCTATCCAACGAGAAAAAGTTACTTGGGTGAATTTCAAACGTGTGGAGGGATACTGTTTGTCTTAATTCTTTAATAAGTGGACAAATCGAATGACCGAAGAATTGAGGGTGATTTCCCATCTCAACAACTCCAAGTTCAGACAGCGTACTGGTAAAATGGTCACCCTGGAAATGTCGGTAAAATTCAAATCATCCTCAACTTTATGAGGCTGTAGGCGTATCTGGAGAATATTTTAACTTGTTATTAAATTGCTAACAAATTACCAATTGCCGATCATAGTCAATTGCAATTGTTACGAATTCAACTTCAAAACCTTCAGCCTAACATCTTATTGCCATTTGCACAACTTGGCAACAACTGAATTGTAGCCGATATCATCTCTATGGAACACTCCGGAAACGCCTACTACCATATATGAGTCTACCACCATAGTAACAAATTTGTTACCGAGCAGTCGTAAATTTATTACCCGGCTGGTAATAAATGCCAAATGACAAATATTACCAACTTGCTAACAATCTTATTCCCATGGCGGTAGATTAACACAAAATAACAGATTGTAATCTCCATTACCACCGAATGGCTTTGAGTCAATGTATGTTAACTGACTGCGGCAGCCTATTCACGAAATTTTCAAATTAAACTTACCGCGTTTTTAATATCCTGTCCAACCTCTATGAGTATGACAATCTTCAAAATAACACATAAAACTATCACAACCATTGCTGCCGTTTGCTTCACCACGACACCCTGCAGCTCTCCGGCCGGAACATTGCTGAGCCTTATCAGTGTCACGAACAGGACGTGCACAGCCGTAATCAAAATCAGGATAGATGACGTGACAAAGATAAAAATAAATTGATCCGCGACTTCATTAACATCCCGCAGTATTTTGAGGAGTTGTCGCAACCTGGTTAATGGTTCCTTGTAATATGGTCGACCGAACGTCTTTCGGTCACAGTACGGACAATTGACGGCATGATCGCGTAATAAGTGGAATTCCAACTGACCCAGTGCTTTGCGAATGGAACGATGGAAGAAGATGAAAATTGAAACAAAAACTGTAAATGCAGCATCACAATGGATGTTGGTCCAATGGGCGATTATTTGCCCGGTGATAGACGTCCCGGTAACTACAGAAACAAATTATTTTTAGTTAATTTGGTGTATCCAAAGTTATCAGTGACTGCGTGTATAGTTGTTGCCACTCAGAAATAATAATAGGGTTACAAGCGTCGTAAATAGGGATTGGCTCTGGTTTCAATCACTGTCCAAAAGACCGTCCAAAGCGGTTTTAACCAGTTTAAGACACAATACGTTTTTTCCTCCAAAATAAAAAATGGGCACCACGACACAATTTCTTTATTGTTGACTTTTTTCCAAATTCTACATACGTAATCTACTTATCATTTTAAGAATTTTGGTATCTAATAGAGAATATTTTGGCAATGTCAGAATTTCCCATAAGAACACATGTTAAATTTTGTTCTTCCAAATTCCATCATATTGTCAACTGCATTTCTTCAAACTTAAACTAGAATTCAGATTTTGGTATAATCTTGCTAGGAAACATATAACATAGAAATTGTAACAAATTGCAAATGTTAAACAATCTTGAACGTTTCTGACATTTTTAAAATTTTTGTCTCTAATAATTTTTGAACACTTTTGGACTTTGTCCAGCCTAAAATCAATTTCGGAGCTCCAAAACTAAACGCTGCTCATGGACCTTATATTATTCACATCCTTTCAGATACTATCAGTATGTCCAAAAATTGGTGAAAACTACCATTATCTAAATAAACCCGCTAGATAGCTCAATCCCATAGTGCGACCACCCTTAACTAAATATTCTACAAAATCAATTCAATTTTCCCACTTTACCTTGAATCAAAATATTTAACGGCAAAATCTTCCAATCCTTGAAGTCTGCAGAAGCGAAAACATTTTCTAAATCCTTCTCTATGACAGTCACCATTGTACAGGCATTTATAACAGATCCGATTGAAAGAATGTAAAACTGAGGACTAAATATTGAAGCAGATTCCTTTCCAAGTAGTCCCAAATTAGCCATTGATTCTAATAATGATCGAATTTTCTTCGTCTTCAAAAATCCCATCGGTTGCCAGAGGTACCGTTGAATGAAAAATATCCAAATGTAACAACCAAAAATTATTTTATCGGTTGATCTATTATCCGGACTTTTATACCATTCCGAGCAAGCTACAAAAAATGGAACTAATTGAAGCAAGATAGAAAACGAAATGATACAAAATGTGGCGGAAGCGATGACCCATTTTATGGGAATTTTTACATTGCCCCAATCCAACTTCAAGGGTAGGATGCACAAGTATCGGGAAATGATTAGGAATACTTTGACCGAGCAAGTTCTACTTTTCGGATCCATCGTAAACTAAGGAGCCGAAGGGCAAACAGACGCTACTCACTTTACACATTTGACACACATCTCACTGAACTGTGACCTACTTAAATACCTATTGATCTGAACTAATGATAAAAACCACTTAGATAAAGATTAATGGATGCACCTTAATGTAGGTTAATTATTATGTATACAGATGGAGGAGGGTTTTGCCCATTTCCTTCAATCTAGATGGACATCAGGGTAAGTCTGCATATCGCATTTGTAAATGTCGAAATTAAACGAAAATATGGATTCTCTATTTTTCATGAATTTCTGTAAAGTAACTTACGTATGCAAGGAACACATACACTCAAAATAAGTCGGTAATAAACGATATTACTGGCGGTGCCTATGTATATACGGCTCAAGCACAATGGAATTAAATTTGTTACCACAGGTAGTAAATTTACCTCAGCTGAATTTACTGTATATTACTAGGCTGTTGCCCGTGTAGAACACGGGGCACATTTATTCACGCTCCAACTACTAAATACTTTCACTTCTAGTTCACTTCTGTAAGAAGTTGAATGACATTTTTATATCAATATCACATTTAGAGATTTATGACAATTTCCTTCTAGATTTACTTCACTTCTAGTTCAGTTCTCCAGAATTAGCAGGCTATCATACTCTTCTTAGTAGTTTTTTTCATATTGCATTTTAAAATGTTTAGGCAAAAGCGTCTCAGTTTTGGCCCGAACACCCTTTATTAGTCCTTACGTGTCTCATCTCGTCTCATCTCATCTCATCTCAAGTTTAATGAGACGAGATGAGATGAGCTTCAATTATGAGTATCTCATTTAGCTTTCGTCGCATCTCAGCAAATGGTGAGACGAGATGAGATGTGGTATATCTCGTCTCATCTCGTCTTCCGGCAACCCTACGTAAAAACTTATTAGGTTCGTCGGAACCTTATCAAGCCAAATGTGTGGGCTAAGTTTATGTGTCAGTTATTAACTTGTCGGTTTTATCGTCACAGCTTATCAGCGGCTGGATTCAATTTACAAATTCGGTAATATACAAACATACCTTTCGTGTGATGTAAAATAGCTTTGATTATGCACCTTGAGATAATTCTACGGTAGCAAATTGTAAAAGGTAGAAAAGTTTCTACTTTGCATCATAAAGAATTGGCCATACAATGCAAAAGTGAAACCTCATTTGTTGCTTAAATTATCTACTCATTAAAACAATTATACACATAGTTTAACTTTCCATTTAAATCACGTCCGTCTAAAACTTGGTCAGTATAATTTGCTTCCCAGTACAGTTATAAGTTCACTCAATTTAATCATTTTCGCAATTATCCAATTTTCAGCAGCCTACCACTTCGACCTCGGTCCGCCCCCGGTTCATCCACGTGGTAGAAATTTAATCAATTTGCTCGGGAATGTTTCAAATTTCAAGTAAACTAAAATAGATAATTCCACCGCATAAAACTTAATAATTCATACTTCCCGCATAGTTCGATTGGCCGAGGCACACCTACCGGGGCGTGGATTCGATGACCTCCCGTGGCCAATTGGGAGTATTGTCGAAATGGAACCTATGCTCACGGGGTGCATGTCAAATATGAGGAATTAAGTGCGTACATGGACAACACGGGGATTAATGGGTTTTCGCTGATCTGCATACGCGTAATTCTTAATATTTTTTCCCCCGCACTGTGGTATTATGAACCCGTGTTGTCTGTCTGTCTGTCTGCCGTCTTGTATAACTCTTTTTAAACTGTTCCGATCGACCTTCGGCACACCTAAAAAAATGCAAAATTAGAAACCATATTCCAAGATAAGCTTGCTCGGTTAAGTTACTAACCTATTTTGGTCATTTTAGAGATGCGGGTCATTTGTTCCAAAAATCCAAAGCAGTCGAAGAAAGCTGAAATTTGGTACCTGGGATAGCTAATGGTTTGTAATAGAAAATTATGAAATAAAATTGCAACAATTTCAAACACCCTACGGGGTAACCCATACGGATTTTTAGAAATCGTCCAATCGAGCTGGAATTTTAATATGGTAGTGTCAATGAGGATACAATCTACATAGTAATATGCTGTCAGATCACAGAATTTGTCCGCCTTTGCACAGCAGCCATGGTTGCAAACCAAATATTTGGTTCAGTCTGATGGATGTGGTGAGAATTCGCCTTCCGTGCATCCGTAGACTGTAAGTAAATCAGAGGTCGAATTTTTGTTAATTAATATTTAAGAACTGGTAGAGTTTTTGGAAATGAAGCACTTGATGACATACCTGCGTAGGGACCGATAAAAAATAATGCGATTGGAATTAGCAACGTTATTTAATGGATTTGGGACCAGATTTTTGGTATAACTTTACTTTGCCAGGACTGAATATTAAATATGGGAAGGATGGATATCCTGTTTTTATTTTATATTGGTAAATTCGCGTATTGATAATTCGTAGAATTGGGGTTATTATCATCTCCTCAGTAATCATCGTGATAGAACAGATGTGAAATAAATAAGTTCACGAGAGAAGTTGACATTAATTGCGAATAAATTCTCAAGCGTCACGAGTTTCCTGGAATAACAAATGTACCCACACACATTGAAACCCTCTTGAGATGGAATATGTACATAACTTAATATGTAATTAATTATTTATGTGTTCGCTGAAAATCTAGATATCATTTTATTAAATAAAGTTTGTGGATAAATTCATTTGCTGGTTTACTTCGTAATCAAAATTTATTAGAATTTTGCAATATTGCAATTAATTACTGGCCGGTCATTAGGTATGACTTTATTTTATGGCTATTTACTTGTGTGGATCAATGTACGATATCTAAATGATTCTGGTGGTTTCCATAATTTATTCTAAATGAGTTTGTATAGTTTTTATAAGTTGAAATTGTATAAATGTGCTAAATTTTAATGAACAAGTTACATAATAATTAGTAACGTTCAAGCCTACATTCATAAATATGTGCAGTCATATCTGTTAGTAGTGATGTTATAAGTTTTAACTGTTTTTATATTTTCCACATATTTTAGTTGTGAAATGTATAATTGTGATTTATGTATCAAGTGCAATATTTATGAATTTTGTAATAAAGGTTTTAGCTTTTTTATTCCCGTGTTACTGTTCTCGTCCACGATATACATTTCTACTCAAACTAATTTATTTTAACGCTGCAGGTACATGTATTGTTTATCTATGATTATTTGTAAATTCTATGTATACATTATTTTGTATATATATCCCGAACTACACAACAAGCACTGATTAGGCATTGACACTTCTTGGTGCTGATAATTCAACGAAATGGAACAAGATCGTATAACGATATGGTACTGATGGGGAGCAACGAAACGGCACCGAAATTCCATCGCTCAATCGTTGCATTTTTAGCGATTGATGAAACAGCGACGAAACACAAGCGTTGCACCACCACCAGATTGCGCACGCAATTTTAGTCACTAAATTTCCTTACAAAATAAGTACTTGTATGTCAATAAAAAATGCTTCATTTATTACTTCAAACAGTATTTCAATTTAATATTGCACGTATCCATAATTTTACAATTTTATGTAATGAAGTAATAAGATTATATAATTCAATCGGTACACACAATTTCAATATAATTACATAAATTAATATATACAACAAAATTAATGAGATGTCATTAATATCCTAATAATCAATAATTAGTACTTACGATTTACCTCAAAGGAATTGCATAATGATATATAAAATTATTTTTTGCCGAATGGAAGTAGTATACATTTTTTTGATAAAATTGAAGGGTTTAATTTTTGCAAAATTCCCAATTTTCTAACATAGCCAATTGCTAAATCTTTGCAAACTATTGGATATGACTTAGGCTCTAAATTTTCCATAAATATTCGACACATAAATTTCTGGTCATGTTTTTCTACAACACAAATTTGGCCAGTCTTGGTAACAAAACAATTATCACCTAGTTTAGCGGACGGAGCAATTGATGAGTTTGCCTCCTTTGGTCGTTTTATTGAGGCATCACTTAATTCAGAAAGTCTTCTAACGATTTGACTAAGAGGAGCATTATTAGATCGCAATAGCCGCTTAATTGTTTGCATGAAATTTTCAAACGGAAATGCGCTGAAATTATCTAACGCACCGTGAAGGTGTACATCTGCAGGTAAATGAGTTAATGAATGTACGTTAAATACAACAAGCTCTTTGCAATACAATGTTGGAATTTTGCTAACAAATTCATCGATAAGTTGAGCTCCCAAATCAATCCAATCACCATACTTGGCAAATCCCGAGGATAATATATAAACTGAAATGTGAAATAAAAGAAAATGGTTATACTTTTCTGTTGATAATACTCCTTTTAAACAAATTGGTCCCAAATACAGCAAAAAAGTTCTAAACTCAGTAGCTTTCCAATGTCTAATTTCTGCTAAACTTCTAGGTTTCCTTGAAAAATGGGAAGGAACGCGATTACGAAACAAAAGAAGTCTACTAGAAATAATTTTAATTTGATTTTGAGATAATTTATGGGGGATAGGCCCTTCTGTCCATAAAAGTAAAAATTTCTTCATTACTCCAAGGCAGCATAAATGCATGTAATCAAGTGGAATTTGGGTTATCATTCCTACACCTGCCTCAATCAAAGGTGAAATTTTATTAACTTCGTGATGATTAATGTGAACTTGATTTAATTACGAATTATTATCAACGGATATAATTGACCTACGGGGTATATTAGGCGACCAGAATACTCACCTTTTGCATAACAACGTTCACAACCATAATATGCATTGTGCCCTTTAACTTGTGTTATGAAACTTCGTGCAAGGTCGTCTGCTATAATAGCTTTCAGAATGAATTGATATTTTTTGTCCCCAACTACAACCCCACTTAAATTTAAATTGACTATTTCACGCACTAATGGATTAAGAAATTCCTGGAGCGATTTGGGTTTTTGAGTTCCGCAAAATAAGCTAACTATAAACACATTATTATCCCCCAGGCTACCGTAAATTTTGCATAGAATAGGCCAAAATTGCAACTTCGAGCTCTTGCTGATTGGTAACCCATCAATACCTAAGCTAACCTCAACTTTTGAAATATTTAATTGGGCGAATTCTTTGTGACATAAAATTTTAACTAATCCTACCTCTAGCCCGAAATGATAAAACTGCCCCCCATCAATATCTTGTAACTGTACTATTCTTTTGGTCTTAAGTAAAGTTCTAGGATCACTAGGAAATCCATATCTTGGCAGCCATTTTCTACAAATTTCTAACAAATCGCGTAACACAGGATGTGTAATATTATGGGTTAACGCCCACTTTCTCAGTTGTGATAAACGGCTAATATCATCTTGCAATTCGGCTTCGTTCTCACTTTCACTGCTACAACTATTTACTAATAATTCTAACCTACCATAATTTGAAATTGGTTCGATGTGATTGTTTATAAATTGGACTTGGGCCATGGAATTTGAATTGGACGGAAGCGTTGAATCTTGAGCGGTGGTTGATGAGACGGAGGCAGTTGATGACGGAGCCCTAATTTGCTTGAGAATTTTCGTCAAGCGGTTCTTCACTCGTTGGGACTTCGTTGATCTTGCGGCGTCCATTTTCAACCTTTGACCGTTTCTTTTTGCCTTCCTCCCCTATATTTATCGAGTCACGAAGCCACTTTGCGATGTAGGAATCCAATTTGCTGTCAATTAATTCGACCCTGATTCGTTCTGAAACAGCTTCTTGACTAAAGAATTGGCGAACTGAATCTATAATGATTTCTAGTGTTAGTATTTTTTAAATACAATAAAAGTTGATAGTAAGTACCATAGTAAAAGCAATAAAAGTACCTTTAACGAGCTTACAGCATTTGGTTCCACCAAATACGAATTTTCCAGACGCGTCGGTGAAGCGAAGGGTGAGAGCAAATTTATGCGAAATAATAAATTTTAAATTATCGTTTATGGCTCGGATTACGGAAGCTCCCCCAATACAGGACATGAACTCCACCTAGAAATTTGTTGCATTAAATATGATGTAGTTTTGTCATTTAATTGCACATAATATCAAAATTGTGTTATCAAAATATTTTAATAGCTTACCTGTTGATTATAAGTGTCGTCTTGCAGAAGAAGTTCGTTGACTTTCCCCGGCTCTTCCAGAGTTTTAATGGGCCAAACTATTCTGCTGGCTCTCCTTGATGGATTTGAAGAATTCAAGCAGCGCAGTACAATATTTTTAAGGTCTCGTACCTCCTCTTGCAAGAATAGTTGATTTTGAATGGAGGTTTCTTGAAATGCTAATCAAAATAATAAATTAAACTTAGCTAAATAATCTATTTATATTGAGATAGTTAGATAAATTAAAAATTACGAAATACCTCGAAACTCTTCGGTTAACACTGTAATTCGGTCATCATAATAATTCAAAGTTACCGGAATGGATTCAACTGTTTGTTCGGTTCCTTCACCACCTGATCCAAAAGTTTGAATTACTGCTTCATCTAAAAATCAAATTGTAAAACTTGAAATTGGAAAACTACGAATATTCCAATATTAAATACTTGCTTGCAACATAGAACGCTATTTAAAAACATTGAACTTACCTTGTAAATTCTCTCTATCTTGCGACGATTCGATTTCGATTTCACTGCTATCGACGTAGGTGGTTTTTAATAACTTCTTGGCCTTAGCATTTGCTCGTTCAAATTTATCTAGAATAAAAATAAAATTTATTTTCAAACTTGAATTTAAGAATTAATTAATTAAGGGATAAGGTTTTACCGTAACTCTTTCTTAAAATTATGTCCCAAATTTGCCACAAAGGGTCTGGCAGCGACTCGAAGTCCTCTTGAATCTTTTTAAAACCTTTAAGTCGATTTGCTGGAAAAGCGCACTTACTATTGTTGTCAGAAAGCCAAGTCATTGGCACCACTTCAATAGTCTTATCCACAGGAAATTCCACCACGCAAAATTTCCTTAATGTTAGGTCTGCCATTGGTATTAATTAATGTTTTATGAAAAAAAAATAAATTTATGTGATGCGTGGAAGGAATTGTGTTCCAAGATTTTGATAATGGCGGTGGTGCGTTCACACAAAATCAATGCTGATACAGCGATGATTCTGTGCTGTAAATGAGCACGGATTAGTCAACGAGTTTTCGGTGCGGATTGGTTGAAGAGTAAAAGATTATTTATCAACACCTATACATTGTTACGGAATGAGTGAGGATTTGGTAACAAAGTTTAGGCGTATAATTAGTATTGATTCTACAATATTGGTTGGACGATGGTTACAAGATGATAATTCAACGCCTTTTAATACACGAGAAATCTGAAAGAATTGGGTACCAAAATTTTAGCGTTTTATTGGTGACAGAAGAAAGTCGTTTTTTAGGTACCGAGTGGCAACCATAAATAAATCCGATAAGATTTCAATACCTATTATGCGTATTATCGTTGCTTAAATTTAAGCGTTAAAAATGCCGTACCAAAAACTCGTCATTTCGGTAATTAAAATTAAGCATAGATTTTTAGTTAGCAAATCATTACGCTTTTCGTTGTTTTATCTTCACTCTGTCAACTCGGGATGTAATGTTGAGCACTAGGTACGTTATCTCGTTAGAAGGCTATTGAAGCAAGCCTTACTTTATGAACTTTACAATAGATTGTATATAAACGTAAATATATTAACAACAAGTTACATACAGTAAACCTTAAGTAGTCATGATAATAAATATGTACATCCATAATTGTTCCTAAAAATAATTATAATGCATAGTGAATTAGGAACAAGTTATATGTGTGGAACGTACCATTCGTAAAGGTTTTTTTTAATAAATTAACAATATATAAAACTAAATCGTGATTTATATGAATATTGATGCGCTTGGTATTCATATACGACTAATGTGCATTCGTACCGAACCGTTATACCTTGCTGGTATAAATCAGGTATTAAAATAATACTACCTAGTTGTACTTTTAGTTCTACTTTGTACTGGTTTTAAACCACGTAGTATTAATTAAATACCCGATCAATACCACGCGGTGGAGTCACATATCAATACCGTGGATGGTTGATTGTGTTTAGAGTTATACAGCAAATTCTTATCAAATTGGCAGGGAGCCAGGCAGACGGACGGACAAGATAAATATGTAATGGTAAGTATACATATTTATAATGTGTATGATCTCGTACATATCTGAACAAACAAACTTTTCCCCTTACTTATTTGTACATATATTCATCCAGGGATACCAATGTAATGACTGATTACTAACGAGACACGTATGCAAACATATGTGTATAGTTTATCTACATTTGCGTCATTATTGTGAGATAGGGATACATAAGTAATTCCATCCTGCTTCATAAATTCGTCAGTTACTCGCTGAATCTTGTTAACCATCATTTGCCTCTACGACGCATTTGATAAGTACAAATCTGCAAATTGTTAAATTTGGACCATTGACGATTTTTATGCGCACAATAATATCAAAATTATAAATAAGTCCAACCAGTTTCAATTTCAACTCTAACAAATATTTTTTTCCAATTTTTAATGTAAAATTGAAAAAAAAACATAAAATGGATTACAACCCCGGAATACTTGCCTGGCAAGAAACACCTGGATTAAAATTAGTTCGTCGTCTTGGCTCGGGTGCCTTTGGAACTGTGTTTCAAATTTCTAGACAAAATGAAGAATCTGATGGAGAAGTTGAGATCGCCGTGAAACAAATTTCAATCGAACTGTACAAGCATATTTATCCCAACGAGGAGTTTCCCGTGACAAGAATGCTCCGAGAGATTGAACTTCTTCAAAATTTAAGTTTTCAAAGATATCCAAATAATGAGACAAACGATGGGAGTGGAAATGTTGTTAAGTATTTCCGACATTGGTTTAAAGGACCGGAGACGGCGGACTTGGAATCATTGAATCACTCCCCACAGGAGGATGATGATTACTCACCGGATGTTCCACCACATCCGAGGAATTGGCTTTTTATCGAGATGCAACTTTGTGGCGCAAATTTGCAGGTATGAAATTGATAAATTAAAAAAACTGAACTTGAGAGATTTCACACTTTTGAAGGAATGGTTGAATAAGCGACCGACCCAAGATGACCGGAATTTGATGGAAATTACACAAATTATTAAACAATTACTGCTAGCTCTTGGTTATATTCATTCCAAACGGATAATTCATCGGGATGTTAAGCCAGACAATATTTTTGTAACGATTAATGGAGACACGCAATCAGAAGGACGTTGTATCTCGGTTACTTTGGGGGATTTTGGACTTAGTAAAATGGTTCATGGGGATAAAAGCAAGATTACTACGGTTCGGGTGGGATCAACAAGGTGCTGTAATTGAAGAACGAGATTTTGATATTTCTTTGTAATTTTGAAGTAAACAATAATTTCCGGCTTCACAGATTCCAAAGCCCAGAAATGCTTCGAGGTGATGGGAACTATGCTGAGAAAACCGATATGTTTTCTGCCGGACTAGTTTATCTTTTGGTATTGTTTGCACCGGAAACGATAACATTTGTGAAAGAAATTCGAGATATTTTTGTCATCCTGCAAAGCAAAGCGGAAACGAGTGTATTAGACTGTCCGGATATGCTGATGTTCCCTGCTGAAGTTGCGTTAATTAAAAAATTGACCAATTTTATACCAAGTGATCGGTATGATTCCAAAGCGGCATTGGAAGCTTTGGATTGTCCAGGTCAGTTTTATAATACTAAGAGTATGTTAAATTTAGTACAAAAATATACCATATGACTAACCTTTGTAGAAAAATTCTTGGAGAAAATCACAGAAGAGCGGAAATGCGAGGCGACTTTCGCGTTTGAAGTAACACCACCGGTATTTAACTTCTTAGGGCGGGATGGCGAACTGGGAACTTTGTGGAACTGGTGGGAGTTGGGGACAAAGGTGATCATTGTTAGCGGAGAACCGGGAATTGGAAAAACAGAATTGGTCCGGAAGCACTGCGATATTCTTTGGAAACGAGGAAACAGTCACGTAATATGGCTAGATGGCGCAACCAGCAGCAGCCTAGCCATCTCGATTACAAAGCTACGTCAAAGTTTAGATACTTCCAAATCAAGGTTAGCAGACATTTTGGAAAGACTTCCAAAGAAGCTTCACAGCCCTAAGTCAACTTCCATTGTCGTGGACAACATTTATGCGGAATCGTCACACATTCAAGAGCTGATGGAAGCTTGTCAAAAATCTGGAGTTCGTTTTATCATAGTAGTCGCAAGCGATACCAAACTGTGTTCCGAACTGTCAGTATCGGAAAATCTGAGGGTTGGAAAATTGCAAGAAAACGTGGCAATCAAACTCCTTAGTCAACGCTTAGGACAATACATGGGTTTCGATGCTGGCAATGCATCCTTTTGAAGAGGAAGCGCTGAAGGCAGCTGTATCTCTGCTCAATTGTAACCCACTCCTGATGGATGAAGCAATTCGCCAAATTCAAGGAACGGTTTCCTCCCGATCCGTCGGTATTAAGTCTATTCGCTCTCTCCCGGACTATATATTTAAGGAAAGAGAAATACTTCTTTCCCGCGAGCGTGGTAATGTCCCTTCTCTGTATTCGAAAACCCACCGAATAATTTCACTGCTAGGGAATCCCTTTGAACGAGACCTAGTTCAAATGATGAGCTACTGCTTCCCTCACCGATGGATTGCGAAGAGGCAATTATTGGATGCTGGACTAACTCTTTTGAAACCTAGAGGCGGTGATTCTGGCGATGCAACAGGCGCCATAAATAATCTTTTTAAATTTTGCATCATTGAGGCAGATCAAAACCAAGAACATTTTCGAATATCAGGTATCTTCAGGGATGTAATTCAAATTTCTCTCCGTCGTGAAAACATGGAAAATGACGTTCTGAGAGCGATCCTGCAAAACATGAAAGCAGGCGGCACATTTTCGTTGGGCCTGCCACAAATCTGGACTTACATCGCCATGGAATCCAACACAGATTGCAGGATAACACTACTCCCAGAGTTTAGAAATGCAACCATATTATTATTCAATAGTATTCCCGACCCATTCAATGATTTTAAGAACGGAGTCATTCCATGGACTAAGCTACGCGTGGAATTAGAACAAAACTACGGTCAAGGGGATGCTTCAGCAATTATTGTCGGAGTCCAAGAGATAGCTGCAAGTGTTAATGGAGATATGGAGGTCGACGTAAGGAGGATGGTTACTTTATTCCGCCAACGACGTCAAATAGGTTAACCAGTTATGTTACAAGGGTAGTAGATTTTTATTTTACAATTTCTGTATATTTGCAGATTGCAATTATTTTAGTATGGAAAGTCACTTTCCCAACTTGGCTTTAAAGATGATGAAAAAGCTTCCGAAGGACGGGGCAATACAGGATTTTTTGACGGATTGGTATCTAGAGGAAGTGCAAAATCGAGGAAAATTCATTGCTGTTGGTGACCAAGATATCGACGCTTTCCTCATTCCCATACTGTGCTCAGAAGTGATGGTCAAGGGTACCATCCCATCGACGCGGGTATTTCGAATTTCAAAATTTCTTCTTGACTGTTATACCGATGTTGAATATATTTCGCCACTGCAACTCCTAGTCCCACTACGTTTAATCTGGCTGGCTTTAAGATATATACTAGAGCCGCAAATCCAAAACGGTAAAACTTGGCCGGAATTGTTTAAAAAGTATGAAATCCTTCCACAAATTGAAACTTGCTTTAGACAAGATTCAGTTTTGAACTTAGGCATGGGTTACGCAGAACATTTCCTTTTCACCCAAATGGATCACCTTTCTAAGTTTTTGCCTTTTGCAACAGACCAATTATTAGAGTTCTTGGTTGATGTTTTCATAGATATGTTTACATTTGGAAAACATCCACACCATTTATTTCGAGGGTTAATTCAAGAAATTTCCAATCCTGAAAAAAACGTTCGTTCACCCAAACAAAATTCCAGAACTAGACTGGAATTTGTAAGTAAAGTATTCCACAATGCAATAGTCTATAAAACTAATGGTAATCACATACCATACACATACGGGTTTTCCGCCAATCTTGAGATATTCAAATTCGAGCAAAGTTTCGTTGGTCAGAGTGACGTCTCGAAGCTGTATTTTCACACTGGTCTGCCCGAGATAGACAAGGACGAGTGGTTACAAGAATTAAATCACGTGCTTCGAGCACATGCCCTTCTCTCAAATTATGGGTTTGAAGAAGCACGTCGCTTACTTGCGGAGAAACCTCGGGACTCAAAAGGATTAGAGGATAAATTGAGCGTCGAGACAGGTGACTTCTTTTGGAATTCAAAAGTGTCCGAATCGGCTAACATGGATTCGTCATACGTAAATAAATTAATGAAAGAAACGATTCAATCGGTTCTCCCACCTCTCGTTTATGACGCTATTGAGAAATCTTCCCGAAATCCACTACTCCAGCATATTGTCCTTCACTTCCCAGATTTATTATTGAGTGAGGTATACTTCTCAAAATCCAAATTATTTGAAGCTCTTTTAAAGTTTGACCCCCACACCACAGAAGATACTGCTTGGCTCGACTTTCTTACCATAAAAGCATGCTCCTTATTATCAATTCCATTACCTAGTGTTCGGACGGAACAAAATTATTTTGATTTTGATTGAACAAAGATTTCTATACTTTGCTACTAATAATGATAGGATATCCACAATCTCAGGAGCATGTCCAAAATTTGACCAGTGCTTTGATAACGTCGCACTACTTGAGTACTGCGGGGAAAGCGAAAGCTCTTAAATCATTTTGCACTACGTTAATGGTTTATCAGCGAGATAAACGTTTTCCGATGGCAAATGTAGAAACGGCGTTAAGATCATATACCGCTGTTGTTGTGCGATTTAGCGAGGATGAATTGAAACTATCATCAATTAATGCAATAAAAGCTTTTATTCTGGGTCAAACGGTTGAAAATATGGAGTATAGCGTGACCATTGATAACTATGCTGTAGAGGTGCAAGAATTGTGCAGTTTCATTGTAGAAAATTGGGCGTCGAATAGTTTGATCAATATTACAATTGCTGAATCTTGTTTAATACATGGGTTTCATGTTGGAGTAGATGTTTTCCCTTTGCTAGAGAAAATTTTGCAAGTGCTAGTTTGGAAAGATGACAAAGCAGGGATTCTCGATTTGGGTCGACTAGTCAAAATACATTGCACCAAAACAAAAATAAAACATAATGAAGAGGTGACCATGGTCATGACAAAGTTTCGTAAGATTCTAGAAAACTGTCGAATGTTGAGACCGGATTACTTGCCGTCGTTTTATCTTGATTCGGCACAGGATAACCACTCCAGAAGGGTTGCGACTTTCTTTCATCCCGATATTCAGTCGCTGGATGACCAGTAATTTAATGCGCGTAATTAAAACAGTGCACATTATATAAGGTATACATACATAACACCAAAATATCTGATAAACATGTATTTTGCACCATGACCTTAACGGGGTATAGCCTTAATTTACACCACATCCACGTCGATTAAATTATGCTCATCTAGCAAAAAAAATGTGCTAGGCCGTACGCTATTGTCAAATAATGCTCAAGGCGAGGCAGCAAAATCTATCATATTTAATATTCCTAAAAACTAAGGCTTAATAGAGACAGGCAATTTAAGAAACACTTAATTCTCACCGCGCTGATAGCTGACAGTCACAAGTTAGCGCACACAATTCTCGTAGAAGATATTTGCGAAATCCATCACACGCTAGCCAGTTTTTATCTTCTCCTTGGAGAATTCATCCACTTTAAATTTTGCATACTTTGGCATTTGCGTCATCACATTCGTTCGATATTCCAATACCTTGGAGCACAGCAGCTTTACAGAACATTTATGTGCTACGTACATAAAAGACTATAAACATATACTAGTTTCACTTGTTAGTGCATTCTTGATGTTCTTTTCTGATTCTAAACTTCAGAGTAGCAATTTTAACACCAGAAGAATTTCCGAGCGTCGAAATTTTCATAGGAAAGTTCTTGAAAGTCTTTACATAAGAAAAACCGACAACACCATGAATCAAGACCGAGGAATGGACTTGAATCCAATATGGTCCGTAATAATGCTGCCTCTAATTAAAAAACCTTCGCAATAATTTGTGATTTGTATGACAAACAACAGCAACTATATACAAAACAAATTTCTCATTCACCTTAAATTTGGAAAAGACTCCATAATCGTCGCTACCAAACTACATGGACATCGCCCCACGAACAACGCTATAATTCCTCTTTGGACGGTATACGCGGACATCAGTTTTAAAAAAATGTTACCATGCTCAATGTTGTCAATATTGTACATACTAGATAGATAGATAAAGTTTATTCCTCAGATTGATGTAGCCAAAGCCTTTACAATCAAATGAATTAAATATATATATAACCTGACTCTCAGTAAATAATTTTAGTGTTATAATGCTCCAACAATTGTATTTCTGATGCTTAGGGCTCTACTGTGGGATCGCTTAACCTCACCCACTGGAAACTATCCATGCAAACTACCCGTCTGCAAGAAGTCGCCGTATGTTGACTGTGCCGTGTTACAGCTCGAGATGATGAAGGGATGATAACTACTTTTATTATTTCACTGATGAATTCTCAAATAAACCCGCTTATACAAGACCAGGATTTTCTCTTTTAACACTGATTTATTAACAATAACTAACCCACTTATCAATTCAACTCACACAAATCAATTACCCAGAAACTATCCCAACTAATTAACTACAAAATACTGGAGCCCAATTCCTCCGTGTCCTCACTCTCACAATGCTGTGATGGGAATGGAGATTTACCATGCCGTCTCCTCTCTTTCTTACCCGACGCCATACCACTCATAACTCGCTCCTCACAGTTTGGGGCAACTTGACATTACATGGTGTATGCATTACTTAAGGATAAATTACTACCTAATTACTTCTTATTTCGAAAAACTGTTCGCGAATACAAAGTTTTTATATTTTTATATTAACTACGACATTATTATCTATCAAATAAGTCAATTTCAAATTATGTTTACGATGGATAAATTTTCCGATTCATACAAATTTAACAAGGGAAAATTACTAATTACTGAATTACTGCAAATCTAGACGCGAAGACAACTATTTTATAATTTTTAATAATACCTACAATCATAAGCCTTATATTAAGCCAAAAATTTAGATATGTTTCCGAACTAATTAATGAGATATACTAATAATACCAAATTGCGCAAACAGCACCATTTCACATACATACATACACTTATAACTACAAACTTACAGTCAATAATCTTACTAGATTCGACATCTACTTACGAACAGATAAAAGTTTTTAATTTTGGTTTCATTTAAGTCTATAAAAAATTTATAATAATCTGTAATTTCACAGGGTTGATCATATTCTTTAAGGTACTCAGATCGAATTATATTATACCTGGGACATTCAAACATACTAATTTCTACATATTTCAAAGATCCCTGATGATGATGCAAGTGTAGTATCGAAAGCTAGGAAATAAATACCTAATCCAGCATCAACCATGCTATCGGAGAATTCTATTTTAACACCAGAAGAAAATTTTTTGGTGGGGTTTTGCAAAGTTTCTAACAGAATATGGCTCGTACAAACGCTTGACATGGGCCTTAAAACTATCATATTTTGAAAATGAAAACTTTATTCCGCATCAGAAATTGATGGGGAACACGATGGAAACAAAAAAAATCACCGACGAATGCTTCGGTCACTAAATTAGGGCCGACCAGGTTTCTATACAAAGGCCCGATGCTCTGTAGAACATTAGAAGAGTCGTATACCGCTTGGTGAAAGCCCGTTTTGTCCAATCCCAGTGAAGGGAGAGTATTCATATGTTGCTAATCTTACAAATTTAATCTTCTAAATCGACTCGGCACATTTGTTAGGCGTTGCCCATAATGCTAAATATAAAAATTCCCTTCAATTTTTGCAAGAACCAAGTCCAATAGCTCGAAACCCTGTCTAATTGCACGTGACGACTATGAATTTGGATAACTTAATTGGAAGACTTTCTTTTCCTTTGAATGTGCTTCAAATAAGGGTGAATACTGTCGCCCCTAGCCGAGGGCCGCATTTTCTAACCAATCTAGTTTGCAATACTTGGCTCGTTTTAATACATAATGTGTTACCATATGCATGCAAAACGATTCAATAAATATTATTGGGATAGAAGACGTTTGCCTTGGCACTCGTAAAACCTTATCAGGATTTGCGTATGTAGCATCTTCAACAACGCCTCCCAAATGTGTCGAGTCGATTTAGGAGAATAAATTTGTAACATTAGCAACATAGGGCTACTTACCCTTCACTGGGATTGGACAAGACGGGGTTTCACCAGGCAGTATCCCACTTTTCTAATGTTTTAGCAGCTCTAAGTACCTAAATTCAATTGATAACCCAAAAGGACGCTACGTAGATACAATTTTATTAAGATATGACCCTGATTGACATCGTGAGTCAACTGCAAGGAAGAGTTCTCACACAAAGACAGAAACTGGGGAAAGTAGTACATGTGTGGGTCACAAACTCCTTGATCAACAAAATCTTTTATTGTTCTTTATTTGCGAGATACCTAGGATATATTTGAAGTGAATTATGACCTAAAACATATAAGGAGTTCAATGCGTAATCTAGTTTTTATCAAAATATCAAAAACCTTCTATCATTTTGCACCACCCATTATTCTAATTTTTTTGCTTAAAAAATTCCCGTGGCATTTTGGCTATCTGATACTTATTCCCTCGTCATCTAATGCTCTTTGACATATTCTAGTGGAATTTTGAATAATTTGGTATAGCATCGTAGAAATTAGAACGAAAAACCGAACCTGCTATCATTATGCACCGCACTGTAATTAAGTACTTTTTTAAGTTGAAATTTAGGTTACCAATATATTTTTCCTCATGTGTGTTTGTATTTCATTTGTAAGTAGTTTTTTGCAAGTTTGAATTTGGAAGTCTTGGTGAAGGGTTACACCCGGCGATCAAAAGTATTTCGGATTTTGTGCATCCAAGTGTCTGCTGCCTTGTGCTCAGTCAAATTGAAACAAAACCAAACCAATTTTTCATCAATTTTGGAAAATGTAATAAGGTTCAATAATGCATTAACATTTTTGGCTGATTTTGCACACAATTGTCAAAAAGTCATTTTTAGTAATAAAATTCGCAAAGTAGGAGTGTCAAAAGTACTTCGGATTTACTAAAATCATACTGATAATTGTAATATTGGTAATGAATATTGTAGCCTTATGCTCTAATTACTTCAGAAATTATTTGATGCATAGATTAAACCAATTTGCACATGAATTCAGATTCTGCCAAGTCTCATTTTTGTCTCCAAATGTCCCCTAGGTGAGACGCATTTTCTTATGGCGGAGGACTTGTTGATGCATTTGAATAGATATGTCTCCACCAATTCTCGATGGCAATTAGGTCTGTATATTGTACCGGCCCCTCTGTTGGGTCGGTTTTATTAGTTTTGAACCATCTTTCAAATCGTTTAATGGGGTCGTTGTCCTGTTCAATGTGTAACGCTTGCCGACACCCAAAGTTCTCTTGGATGCCTTGACGTTGTTTTTTTTTAAATCTCGAGGAATCCTTCTTTTTTCACAATCGCATAAGCATTCAGGATATATCCGACGACATTTATGACCATTCACTACCAAATCATGATACGGCGTGAAAAGTTAAACATGGGTACACGAATTTGAAAGAAGACAAAAATGTAAGGTTTTCCCTGTTTGACGATTTGAAATTTTTAAATCGTCGAAATTTTTGAATATTGGAAAGAATGGGTCTAAACTTGTGTGGGGGAGACCTGCAGAAGCTATCGGAACGGAATCTTTACGACCGCTAGCCAAACAAGGTGGAGGTGCATAGTGATTTTATTTATGACTTCATTTGAAATAGTGTACCTATCAGGATCCCTCACAATCTATGGGTCAGTGGGCACAAATGTCATCGAATATATCCATAAAGTGTATGCAATTATGAAAAGTAAAGAATTATTCGAGATTTTGAAAAATAACGTCCATGCATCAAGGAGAACTTTGGGTGTCGGCTAGCATTATGCATGGAACATGACAACGACCCCACCTACGATTTGAAACATGGATCAAAAATAATAAAACCGACCCAATAGAGTGGCCGGTACAATATCCAGACCTAATTGCCATCGAGAATTGGTGGAGACATTTCTATTCGAATGCATCAATAACTCCTCCGCCACAAGGAAATGGGTCTCAGCTAGGGGACATTTGGAGGCCAGAATGAGACTTGGCAGAATCTAAATTCATGTGAAAATTGGTTAAATTAATGCTACAAATAATTGCTGAAGTAATTAGAGCAGAAGCCTCATTCCCTGATGGGGATGGGGAACAGGCAGATAAGGCAACATTCTGCGCTTAGGCTGGTCATAAACACGTAGATTTTTTTAAATCAGGCACTCAGGTTGGTTGATTTTAGAATTAGCACTTAACTTGTAACTTGTGTATAAAATATTTACATGAATTATCTCTATGGTGAAACGGAACAAAGTTTGGTGAAGATGAAGGAAATGAAGGCCCAAAAGTAAATTTTCTAGGCTGGTCGTTGATGAAAGGATTGGAAGCGATTGTAAAAAACTCAAAAAGTTATCAGTTTCAATAACTGTTTCGATGTCATAAGCGATCATATACTATGTGAATTTACTTTAGTCTATCATACTTTACATAATCTTTCACAAGTTTAGTTTGAATAAAGTTAGTAAAGTAATTTAAATATTTAGCACCATTTCAGACTTTATATACCGATTTATAAATTCCTTTAAAAAATTATTGTCCAAATTTCGTCAAAGAGAAATCCTAAATTTATGTAAATTTGTCATTTTTGCTAACTTTGTATATTTTCATCTATTTATATGATTTGGAAATACCTTTGCATGTACAAATAACGTATATACAAACATAAGCAATAGAAAAGTTGCTTAAAATGAGCGTTTAGAGACAAAAATTTAGTTTAAAATTATCGGTTAAAATTTTGAATTTAATGTAAAATTGACCATAATGGAAATTTCGTGTTCGAAATATTTATATCGTAAAAAATAAAAAGAGGTTAAAATTGAAGCACATTATGTTTAGTTTGTATTATATTGCATTTTTATAAAACCTAGTACACCTTTACCTTTGACTTTGAAACAATATCATGCTATGCAATTCACACGTCTCTGGATGATTAGGTCCCAAAATATTTTCAAACCTTTCCAACAATATTCGTAGGACTAGAACACCCTCCTCTTTCCTGTATGCGAAAATCATAAGTGCCATAAACAGTAACATTCTCGTATGAATAGTGAAATCTTCCTCTTTCGTAATTCCTTTACTGAGCTGAATTATTTCTTCTACTTGTGCCTCGGCGTCTTCAAATTTATGTTGGTAGTAGGAAATGAATGCTAGAGAAAGGCGTGTCTCGAGAGTGTCTGGATGAGCATTTCCAACGCTGCTTATTTGCCATTTCAATACCTTATCATATTCTAGGCGAGCTTCCGCGTAATGCTTCGAGCCTTCAAATATACTGCCTAAGATATATCGAGTTTCCATAGTGTCCACGTCATTTTTACCGTAGCGATGGGTTTGTCTTCTTAGAACGCTTCTGATACGATTAATTCCTTCGTCGTTCTGTTTCAATTCTACTAAGAGTGTACCCACTTGTCGGTCAGCTTTTAATGTTTCCCTATGACCTTCTCCAAGCACTCGAATTATCTTGGGATAGACTTGCTGTGTTAGAGCAAGTGATTTTTCATATTCACCCATACGTGCTAATACATTCGCTACAATAAACTCCATCTGCACGCTGTTGGTATCAGTCATGTTTAGATTTTGAATACGGTTAAGACTTCTTTCAGCAAAGCTGAATTCCTCACTGACCATTTGCAAACTTTTAAGTGCTTGCCATATTTTCAAGGGATGGCGTTGTTGTTTCTTAAATGTGGCATCACTCGCGAGTTCCCAAATGCTGAGGATGTGTGGTAATTCCTCCCTGGAAGTGTTATTCTTGTTGAAGTTTCCAACGATAATGGTAGCAAGGGCTTGACAGTTAAAACTATTTTGCACCACGGTCCGAATTTGGGGATGCATCAACACGATAGATCCATCCAACTGCACGATAGAATACTTGATCAATATTTGCAGGAGTTGTGAGATGTCGTTTACTTTATCTCTAGTTGGGGAACATCTCTCCCTAATAGTACAAGTCATGTAATCAAGCCAACCTCGTTCTGACAGGTGGGATACGTAACAGTTGATAAGACATCTGCGAAAATAAAATCAATACCACAATTTAAATTGTTTTGGACAAACTAACGAAGCTCCCAAGCAGCATCGGCCATCTAGTTTAGTAGCGTTGGGTTAGGCGAGTTTGTTTAACTACGTGTGTTTACTAGATAAAATTAGGCTTGATTTCTCTTGATATTGTAAAAGTGCCTATACATAACTCCATTTACAAATTACACACACAAATCATGTCCATGGACGTACACATTATTTTTAATCAAAACTTCGCAAATGGAACAAGAATGACACAAATATTCGCTACAGGAATGCCCTAGTTGGTAAATACGTTAGAATTTTATTAAAATCATTATCGTGACCAAATTGTTTCATGGCGTTTAATGGGTGAGAGATACAGGTAAATTTTACCCTGCTGGATTTCCCAAGTTGGTCTAAGTATGTCTAATCCAACAATATTTGTTTGGCTTACCAGCAGCCGATAGAAAGTCTGCTCGCCGTAGAACTTCAACAAGATTTGAAATTGTGGCGCCTTCCCCTTCTGCACCCACCCATAGGCGAACATGACGGTGTAACAGCTCCTCTACGGTTATGATCCGCAAGGAGCACAAATCGTTGGAAGATTGAATAAGTTTGTAGGGAATTTTTAAGATAGCATACAACATACAGCTATTTTGAACCAAACGAGTATCCATGACCAGTATTTTCGCCAATTCTGATGTGGTAACCCGGATCGTGGACATGGCGAAAAGGCAAAACTATTTGAGCAATATGTTAGTGAAAATGGGAACAAATCCTTCACTTCGCATCCAACTTTGGATTGAGAATGATTACCGCTTATCTGGGATGAAAAAATTCAATTTTACAAGGGCAACTTAATCCTTTTGTTATCGGCGTGATAAACGATGTGGGAGATGGTGGAGTAGTCAAAGGATGCGTCACATTATGTGGTTATAATGAATAAAATAATTGAAGTAATATTAGATTTAAGTAATTATTCATCAAAAACATGTATATTTTGAGGAACTTTTAAATTTGTTAATACAGGGTTTGCTTCGTAAGCTTAATATCAGTAATACATAAGCAAATATGTGCGTGGTTACCATACGTAAAGATGAAGACATACAAATCACTTAACTAAACCAAATTATTTGAACATAAGTGCATACAGATAAAAAAAATAGTTTCCATTATGGAATTTTTAAATGAAATAAAACTTTTCGTTTTAACAAATTCGCAGTTTTTATAATTATCACCTAATAATTACCAGCTTTTTTGTACATGTAATCGCCAAGGATTCAATTATTTGTTGACCAATACATTATTTAAATTATTTATGTATAATGAAGGTATTGTATTATGTTGTCCCATTTTATACAAAGGCATTTCCGGCAAGAAGGCATACATTTTTGTGCGGCATTCACGACATATAGGGAACGTTTAAAGCAGGCATGACTTTAGTAATAAAATTGATGATTCAGTAAATTTACGAGCAAATACATACATATGTAGCTCACGCAATCTAGTAGTTTTAGCAGCAGCTCCCAATAATTTAAATGCACTGAATCAAGAATTAATTCACTTAATATAACTGGCAAAAATCTAATTAAGAAATCTTCATGCAAAAATTTCACACATTGAATGGAAGAGAATTATATTTTGTGAGAATATCATAATTGAGAAGAACTAACATATATTCTATGAAGTCTTGCAGACGTAGTATTCATACCAATAAAAGTGATATCCTTACCCTTGGGGCAAATATGACGAGAAATGTCAACAAAACTATTGAAAGTAATAAGATTCTGAATTTTTTAAATATATTTACCCGTTCTACTCTCAACATTACCAAAACCATCTTTCTCCTTGTGCAAAACAAAGTTCCAGTCAACAAGAAAGAAGGTGCCATCGTATGTGGGGCCGCAGTGATCTCACGCTTTACTATAGCTACACACTCACAAAAATATTATTAAGATTTGTAGACGTATATGACTCTACCGCCGTGGTGATAAATTTACCACCGACTAGTTATCATTATAACCAGATTTGTTATAATTGAAACCAAGACGGTTATGTTTGTAACCATTCGGTTACAAATTTATAACCAATCGGTGATGAAGTTTATCACCCTTACGGTAGAACCATATACGTCTAAATCTGGTGATAATCATCACCCAATTTCTCTGAGTGTAGGACTTCTAACGACTCAATTCTTTTAAAAGGAAAGTGAACATTTATTATCATAATAGTTTCACCAAGGAAAGTTAAAATAATTTTACCCATTTTTCCTGGAATTATTACATTATGACACTGTAAGAAATCCGGTAGAGTCATATATAGACTGCGCAACAGTAATGATTTTGGTAAACATTCAATACTGCGCGGCATTAAAGTCATTACCAAAATTTTACCAAATTCTATTAATGTAATTACCAAGCGCGGTAGAGTCATATCTAGACTACAAGCGGTAATCATTCACTTTTTTTCATTACCACATTTCGGAGAGTGGACTAATAACTCAGCGTTTATGGTTGACATAAAAAGCGGTACCACCTCCGAGAGTGGGATACGCGTTAAAAAATGGAGTATAATTCGGAATATTAAAATTACCATGGCGGATTGGATCTAAGTTTGTCTCCTGAAGGGAAACAATTGTGGGATTAAAGTAATTGATGAATGATTTAAGTATGTGGCATATGCTTTTGCCTAGGTGGTAATAATTTCGCACTGTCCAACTTCACATTTAAATTATTATCTGTCACTTTAACCCTTTATAAGGTTGATATAATGTCTGAATTTAAATACAATAAGGATTAGGTGTGTTATGTATGTATGTTAGTAAGAAGTTAGATTTTGTGACATGCACACACTCTGGTGCATGTCAGGTGAGATACGTACGAGAGTGAGAGAGAGAGACGTGAGAGCCATGTGGTGGTCGTACTTTCATCGAGATTACATTACAATTAATTACTCTTAACCCAATTGGCAATAAATAACTACAATTCTTTATTGTATCATGTCGTATTTGCTCAGTCTCCTCATTAGCACATCTCGGTCATAGCAGCAAATACAACAAGGTGAATTTGCAAATGTTCCTAGTTACGAATTATGGAACCTTTCAAATATTTTCAATAACTTGTCCACAATATGACTATATTTAATGACAAACAACCCTGATATAATTACTTAGTTAATTACCAAGCTCAACAAGTAACTTGACAATGATACAAATTCTGAATATCTTGCGCGACTTATTAATATTTTCAGGTAAGAAGAGTTTTGAACTTTTAAACAGATACCCTGGTCATTATGGCTTTTGGAGTAATTGTAAATAATTTGCTATAATATTTGTAAATTTCTTATTCAAATTTTGAACGTTAAAACACACGTCAAGCTGTAAGAGAGGATTTTTACTACACCGTATTTTTATAAGACGTAATTCTTTTGAGACATAAAACTAAAAATAATCATACTCCTTCATAAGTTGTAAATATTTACTATGCAAATCTGGTAATAATCTGTAATTCTATGGGCCCAGAGCTTGCCAAGAATTTTATGAATGGACTAAAAATTTTAAAAACCTTGATAGGTACAAACCCAAAATTAAAATATTTATTTATGTGCCAGCTTAACTCCAAATAAACTTTTGTCGTAATTTCAATTATTTATTTGTAGTATCAGATAATTTTTTTGGACACGTAAATTGTAAGAACGTATTTATAGTCTGATGATGATTATTAAAAAAAACATAACCATTTCACAAATCCTAATATATTCGTAATATAACATTGGCAATTTTATTAATTTCTACATACATTACTGGCTTGATTCTACACTTAGCATTATTTTTTCTTAATCCTTTTATACATAATTACTCCGTTTCTATTAGCAATTTATAAATTTCAAAACAATTAATAATCAAGTTCAAATATTGTGCTTCATATCCCAATTTGAATAAAGGTTAATTAGGTTGATGTAACGATTCAAGTCTAAATATTGATGAGGTTTCACAATTTGATATATTAGTATTTTGTGTTAAAACGATTTATAAGTTTGTGCCCAAACTTAACTACTCTTACAATGGTTAGAAGTTACTGCTCTAAATTTTCTCAGCAAATCTACCACAAAACAGACGGCTGACTCGTCCCCCCCCCCCAATCCCCTACACCCACCCTTCCTCAAGACAAGTATCACATGCTAGTTTTGATACAGGCATCTGCAAAAAGGTGAGGAATAATTTATTTAAAAAAATTGGTATGATACCTATCTCTGACATTAGGTACATATGTAGGTACCTTAAACATCGTAATATTAATTAATTCGTATTTTATGACTTAATTTATAAAACCTCACCTCATAGTTAGAGATATTAATTTGCACAAATTAAGGAAGTAAATCGCAAATTAAGGAACACGCATAGATTTCAAAATATGTGGTAAATAATTTACCAAAAAGTTTTCGGAATTTAGTTTTTGCTGCGATGATAATTACTCATTCTCGTATCTCATATGTTGGAAAGACGTGGCAGGAGCCTCAATTTCTTCTGGCATTGCTTTTGTGACGAAGAAGCCGGTACATACTGTATATGCCAATATATGTATGTAACGTTAATTATATTTATTGACTTCCATGCATGTAGAAGAATATTTCTTGTTCTTGCTGATACGTAGCTATGAACAAAGTATCATCCATATTTATTAAGTAGCATTGACAATGATGTATACATATGGCACCCTAACTGGGACCTATTTTCGATGGTACATGCTATGCACCTATGCTATGCATCAGTATACTCTGGACAAGTTTGGACGACGAGTAGTTAACTTAAATCCCGTACATGTAACAGGATTGAGCGTATGACACCATCCTGGCAATCCTCCAAGTCACGGTCTTATCGTAATAGTAGATTCGGCTCGTGCATATATGACGTCAAAAACTCAAAAGCTTTTATTTACTACTGATCCACCCAATTATGTCACATAATTTATGTGAGAAGGAAATCTAACATGGACAAAATGGTATGTATTGCAAAGTGATACTCGCGCGTAAAGCGTTACGTCACATGTGCACCCTCCCTTTTTTCATGAATCCCAATTTATGAACGAGGGAATGTTCGTACATTAAGTCACCATTTTTAGGTGACTTAGGTCATTCTATCTTTATCATGTTAAAATTCCTTATCTCTTCATGTCCACATACATACGTTGGGTGGTTTGATGGTAAAATTAATACTTTTTGATGACGTAATATTTAAACGACGCGTAATATATAAGACTAAATAGATATGTATACTGTATTTTTTATGTACTTATTTAATGTCACCATCCATCCTTAACTCACTGCTGTTTAAATATTTCTTCCCTTCTTAATACAGTCAAGAGCACAATGTTGCCAATAAATAATTCGTGTGCTTGTAAAGTTTGCACTAAATGTGGCAACTTGTCTCACATCATGTGAGGCACATGGGATAGCAAGTGCCGTGATTTGCAACAAAACTTTTTGCAATTTATTTTAGCAAGGAAACGTTTCATTAATTTAATGTGTGCTTACTTTTTTTAATTTAGTAATTGTTTAAACTCTTCGGAAACATAAAGTTAGCAGTTTCTAATTGAAAATATTATCACAAAAATTAACCAACCTTTGCAAAAAGTCTTGCTTCACTTAACTTCTAAATAAATAAAGTTCCACACAATTAATAATGAACCTGTACCGGTTGATATCTAAGTTGCAGCCCAAAGTGCAAATTGTGCTTATCATTTTTGGCACAATTTTAGGCACTCTTGGAATTCTCGCACTTGTTTGTCTTGGATTTTTGCTGGTTCATAAAATAACTTAGCGATTAACAAAACAAACCTTTGAGATTTGGAGGATTTACTCAATATTTTTAAATATTTAAATTGTTTTCAGGTGCATCTAATTATAACCGTGGCAACAATCGCGGCCTTACTTGTGGGGTGGTATTACGCGATGGGGTTTGGCATCACTGCGTTACGCATAACTAACAATCTTACAGCATCGTAAGTTTTATTATTAATAGAGACTTAGCGTTGGCATGACTTATAATTTATAACTTATTTTATAAGTTCCCAAAACCCCCAGGGTAGGGATAAGTTGGGAGACGGGATGCACACTGTAAATAATTTTGCAGAGTCAAATACGTTACGAATTTTGGTAAAGAATTTAATACAAATTGGTAAAAATTATTACCAAAATGGTAAAGATTTATTACCAAATCTTTACCAAATGTAGTGCGCGTTATTACCGTCTCTGTAGAGTCATATACGTTACGCATCCGGTAATAATTATTACCAAATTATTTGCAGTGCATATATTTTTTAGTGTCATAGTAACCAGTAAGAATGGTCTGATTTTTTTATGGATATTCTAAAAATTCGAATTTATTAGATTTTCTAAATCGCTAAGTTTTGACAACATCTAGGTTTTAATTATAAGTTGCGATTTATAAGTCATGTCAACGAAATAAGACTCTAATAAATAATTAATTTCTCCGCAACAATTACGCATTAATTTTTACGTATGTACATTCATCTCAACAGGAGGATATCGGTGGATTGGCATAATGACCAGGATTGGGATGAGGATGAATATGAGCCAAGACGACGACGACGAAATTACTTGATGTACTAAATACAGGTATTTACGTGTCCAAAATCCTTGACGTTACAAACATGTGTACATATCTTTTTATTTAGACTATTGATGCCAAACTGCAGAATGGATAAAATTTTGGCGTTTGTGTATCCTACAGTTATTTAAGTAAATTGGGAATTTGGAATGTATTGTTTGCACTATGTATGTATCATGTATGTATGTACGATTGTATTTAATTTACGGACACCTCTAAATATTTAAAATAAATAAATATTTGTACTTTTAATTTGATGTATTTGCAAATTAATTAAATGACGAATTATGGGTGTAAAATTATGTGTCTTTGTTGTTCATATATTAGAGTAATTTATCATGCATAACTGTAAGTCATTTAAGATTTTCTCTCAAGCTTGGGATTTCGTTCAAAACCTCACTTGCTCATTTACCAATTGTTGGGGATAAATCGGTGTAAAATGCATTTCATATAGGAATTGAAACTTAATACCTAATCCTCAATAGTTTATCTTAGTTAAGACAATTATGTTAAAGAATTGCAAAGATTTTAGTTTCATGAAGGTAAAACTGTAAAATCTAGGCTGCTCAGTCGATCGGAAATATGCAATTGTTGGGATAGGAATACCAAGGTACGGTGTCACGAATTTGCAAATATTATAGAATTTATGTCATATTAATAATTTTTAATTTATAGCAATTTTATCACCGTGGTAACCGGTATTTGTCTCCTAAGCTCCGGATGTGGACTAACAATTCTCCACTTCTTTCTCAAAGCTCACGATAAACTAAAGTTGGTGGAACTTATCCAATTTTTGCATAACTTGGTGTAGTAAGTGTTTAATGATTAGCAGTAGATTTAAGTTTTGAAAATTCAGGAAATTGTGTTGCAACGCCGGGAAAGCTTCCAGCATTTCCGCTGGAACATAAGCTTGTTAACACTGGCAAGTATCATTGGAATCCAAAATCCACCCCTGCTGGGTGGATTTTTAACCATTTATACGGATTCTAAAAGGCGGCCCATTTCACTCTTATAATAATATGTGCATTAATTTGATTGAAATCAAATTATTTTGTACTTTAAAAAAAACCAGCATAAATGAATAAATTTAAAGCTTGAACTAGTCTTGGGGGAATTTTGAAGGATCCCAAATAGGAATTATTGGTAATTGTAAATGTTATAATTCAAAGAAACTAAATTGTGAGAAAGCATCTAAATATCTCAAAACCAAACCCCGGCAATTTAGGTAAATTGAAATACGAACAAGTTGGAAATACCAAACTGTATTTCTTCACAGCACAATGCATAAACCAAAGTTTACCCAACTTTGCAAAACATAATTTTAGCTTGATTAACTACATTCGTAACAAATACCATCAATCAACATAGGTATTTCTTGTGTCAGATTAAATATGAATATTACGCATGTCTAATATATCCCAACTGTTTATGTGGTTAAAGTAGGGTTGCCCGTGAGATGAGATAAACTCATGTCCTGATGAGACGAGATTGCCGATAGATGAGATTAGTTGTATGTATGATGAGATGATATGATGGATAAATGAGATGAGACGTGTCAAGTATGCGATGAAATGAGTTGTTTAGAGATGAGATCTTACGTGTCTCATCTCGTCCCGTCTCAAGTTTAATGAGATTAGATGTGATGAGTTTAAATTTTGAGTAGAGGTACCTCAGTTAGCTTTCGTCGCCTCTCTGCACATGGTTAGACGATATATGGTACAATTCGTTTCATCTCGTATCATTTGCATCCCTAGTTCTAAGGATTATTGTTTGTTGCCATGTCAAAATAATTTGGAATAACCCATTTTTCAACATGAAAGGTTAGTTTGATTAATTCCTAAGCACATCAATCAAAATTTTTATCAATATTACGGAAGTTAGTTGTCCGTATATAATTCATTTAAACCACATAATTCAAACCACCTTATCAATCATTATGGTGATCAAACTTTTCAAATTCGTACGTACTTAGATCACAATGCGCATTAGTCACCACACCGTGTTAAATAAGATTAACACAACAAGCGTCATCCCAACTGATTCAATTTTATCGATTTCTGATATCTTGCATTTGCTCACTGCACGCACAAGCTTGGGGACAATGTATCTTCATATGTTACGTAACCTCCACCCTCTATTATCGTGATAAATCGTGCAGTGTCCTCACAGTTTCCACGGCCACTTCATTATCTCAGGATTTACCAACCCTGTAATCGACGAAATTTGAACGTTTGCCTGTGTATATAAACCAATATATTAAGGTTGAAATATTCATTAGGCCGATAATTCTCCGACTTCTGGAAATACAGATGTGTATTTGATAAAACAATGGAGTCGTCTCAACTTCCCTTGGGCATTGTTTTATTCGCGGTCCTATTTTCCATAGAGGGCGCTGCGGGTTATCCCTCGAATCTTGCCGATTACCCCATCACACCACTGGGCATCGTTTCCCCAACTCCAAATTCTTGTTACACTGGTACATAAGCTTACATTCGTCATCTTAAAAAAACTATATATTAATGCCTCAAATTTATCGAGCCTTAACCTAGAAGTGTGTTTGTAATTTGTTTTATATATCTATCTCACCAGCTGATACTGCAACATTCTCTCATATGGAAGTCACCGGCTGCACAGAACAACCCTGTTCCATTAATTCTTCATACACTTATGAAATTGCAGCTTGGATTACACCAGGTAGGCAACTAATTTAATAATTTTGATCGATTTTAACCAACAAATTTTTGTTATCTGTCAATTAACGATGCCGAAGTCGTTTCATAGCTTAAATCATATTTTGACCACAAATAAATTATTGTTATATGAATCATAAGAACTCAAATGCTGCTTATTTTTTGCAGGACATTCTACAAATTCCATGCAATATCGTATTACTTTTGATGCTGGAACTGCAGAACACAGCTTTGGTACCCTTTCCCTTACAAAGGCCTATTATGCCGGCTCCCTATACAGAATCAGCAGAGAGGTTGAGTTCCCTTATTCTCTGAATGGGGTGGGTATTTCATTCATGTATATTTATGACAAAGCAGTTTCTTGGCATTCGAAGAACAATGCATTGAGCTACATTATTTTCTATGTAGAAAACTGGTGAGGTGCGAGTGCTTCTTTTTGAATGGTCGGGCTTGTATCACGCCAGTCGATGTTTTCAAGTTACGGTGAACGGCCCTTAGGAAGAATAAATAAATGTTATTTAAAATGAATGACAAATCATATAAAAAGAATACGTTAATTAAACAATTATGATGTTTATTTTTCACAAACGTTGGACATACATAAGTGCATACATATGTGCTTGAACTGACCAAATATTTACATGCAGATATGTACATACAGTCCAGTGCAAAACGATAGAAGCTTCGCGTTTTCGTTTTTCAAGTTTTTCCACATAAAATATTTCCCCAGGCGATCTGACATGTCATACTCATATTTTCTTTATATAATTCTGAAAGACATATTCTGTTGAAATTTTGAGTCATTTGGTTTGTTGATATCAAAATTAGGGACGAAAACGGGAACCTTTTATCGTTCTGCACTGGACTGCAATAGACCATAAACTACTGATAAAAGTTTTTCGCAACGCGTTATTAGACAACATAACTTTAAATCATTATCTGCCGCCATTCTATAGCACCAGATTTCTAAACCCTAGCAGAAAGCCGTTTCCAGTTTCAGTATTCAGTTTAATATTAAGAGTGCATATAAACAATGTATCATACTCTAAATTCGTCATGGTGCTTTCGGCAGTTCTTCTGTTGAAACTGCCAATACAATATCCATATATATGCATACGTATGTAGATGTTTTTGATATCAAAGTGATATGTGTTGCTTCTCCTGTATGTCACATACTCCTTTTTTAATTGGAACAAACCCTAACCATTATCTCGACAAAGCTTCATACGTGCACTCTGGATCTTTCTGCGTATTGATAGGTACATACATAACTGTTCGCCCTTCGCGTGTTATTTGTTCAACACCTTCTCATGACTAATTTATTAGCACAGTGATACAAACTCTCATCGTACATAAAAGAGCTCAAGGAATGATGACATTTTATCTAATTTGCTAATTTGATAAAGTGGTCTCGATTCTTTCGAAAATTTCTAGCTTGTGCAAAAAAAAGCGTGCCTAACATATTTACTTACTCTGCTCATCTAGAACCTTTCTTACTTTTGTACAAAAACAAGCCCAGCTTTGTAAATCCAACATGGACAGAATTGTTCAAGCTCATTCCCCTTAGTTGTCGCAGTATACTGTTACCAACTACAATTTCTGCCGCAAACGAAACTACAACTACGCCGACGATCACTCCCACAATGTTGAGGAACGATAACAATGTATTGATTGAGATATATGGCGACGCCACTCTCATTGTTGCCCACGTTACTGCTTTCAACCTAGTGTAGTGATTCACCTGTCGCTCCCACAAATTTATAATCCCCACCATCTCCAATCGGTTTAAACTCTGTGCGAATTTATATTTCCATATATTGTGCGCAGCGGAAAAATAACAGCGATATAATGCAATGTCAGAAATCACAAAACACTCAAATTCCCCTTTCAGGAGTAGGTTCTGCAAGATAAGAAAGTATTCAAGCTTCCTTATATTGTGTACTAGGATGGCATTTTTTGGATTGCGTTTAGTAACGTAGTTTGTCAAATTGTTCCAGCTGTACCTGAAAGTTAAATTAATAAACTGTATCAGTAAAGCTGAAGCACTAGAGCAGATATAGAGTACACATTTAAATGCCAACAAGTTATGATTGAACATGGCCATGAACATTGCAACAATCCAAAAAGATCTCGCAATAAATCACTTAACAACAGCCGTAGCATTTTTTATATGAATTTATTACAGTGCGCATGCTGCGGTATTAATTGGTGTACCATAATGGGTTACTGATTTAAGCTTGTCATTATAAAGAACTAAACTCGATTGCCAGCGGTAATTTATCACAATCCATTATATTCAGACTTTGAATCTATCATACCTGATTGCGATGGTTTTGTTATGCGGGAAATGTCCAAGAGACTGCTCATTAAATTCCTGCTGCAACCGCGACCTAATTGGAGCCCATCCTCTTCCCTCGTCCGACTTGTAAACAATTGTATAACCATGGGCAAAAAACTCGTTCAGTGTGCAAAACTTCTCAAATACCGGAGGCGTAACTAGGTTTTCCATCAAGTGCACCTCGTATTGTACGAGTAATGCAAGACTTGCCAAGAGCAAAAATCCTATTATCCAGTTTGAGCGCTGTCTATTATTTGTGGATTGTCTGACAAATATCGCCAAAATTGTAAATATCACATCCCCGACATTTTTTAAGACAGGGAATATCCCAGTATATCCTTCTGATTTAGATAAATCAATCACAATTATTACTAACCCGGAAATTCCTATAAATACAAGACAACCAAGCCACACCCGTGGGGTAAAGGGTGACACCCAGGCGGCCAAGTCAGATTTTTCCGACCATATATCGAAGTTATAGTATATCACATGATACCCTTCATAACGGAATGAAAATAGCGTATTCATGCCGTAAAATATATGCATATCGTGCCCCGTATGCTGGGCAAAATATCCCCACTTGTGTCTCTTTCCAGGGAGGAATTGGTCGAACGTGATGTTTAAAAGATGACTCATCACTGAATACTTGGTCTCCGGGACTGAGCAATATTCCCTGGATAATGCGATGTTGTACTGCCCTTTCCGGCAGATCCTTCGTGGTCTAAAGTCACTTGATCCTGTCATGATGGATATATCGTTTCTCCATTCTTGCATGTTAAGCGACCTGACAGTTAGCGTCTTAATCTTGGAGGTATAACGCACCGGCACAAACACTGACTTACAAGGGATGCAGTAGAAGAACCATTTGAATTCTAGATGATCCAACAAGATTGAATCAAGCACTCTTGTTTCCAAATCAACTACAAACACCCTGTACGGTACAAGATAGTCGTACTTGTGCACAGTCATCATTGTGTGTTGACGGGGCGGTCGAAAAATTACAATCATTATGGAATGGACCAGGCTTCTGTGGACGTCCCTAGTGAAAAGCAAGTAGTCATTACGGAACTGGTTATCTTGTATGCCAAAATTAACAAAAACGGTTATCGTGCAAACCTCATAAAATCTAAAGTCACGTTCCACCTTTTCGTCTTCGATGGATTTGTTGGAAAAATTTAGTCGCCCGCTAACAGTGTAAATCAAATTGGCTGGATTGTTGACATGAATCAGGTACTCGGCTAGGTCGTTGTACTCGAATGTATCGTTCAGCGTTAAGAATTTGAGTACACAATCGCCAAAATGTCCGAAATTACCGGACGGAAGGCTATCTATACCGAACACTGATGGCATTGTGATTACCAGAAGGAGGAAACGATACAGAGACATTTTCACGTTTACCAAAAAATCCTAATGAGTTCAAGGATTCATGAGTTACATACGTAATGGCGAGACTATTGGTCCAACCCCTTAATGTTCAATTAGTAATAGGAGGTGTAACCCTCGTCTTACACCTTGATTAACTTTGATAAGGTAAAACTAGCTTCTGTAATACTATTTTATACTTAGCATCATTTACATCTCAAACATCTTGTTTGACCAATACGTTTGCTATGATCTTCAATTCCTGACCTATTGTTAGTTTTAACGAATGAAACAGATTTCTGTAGTAAGTTTAGTGTGCACACATGGCTGACAGTCTAATTAATTATTTGCTTGTCAAAATAGGATTTACTTCTGCTGGTTGCTAATTATGTTGCCAATTTTCAAGCAAGCCTTGATTGCAATAATTCCGGTAACCATGATTTCCAGCGGTATGTAAGTGTTTTGAACAATGCCGCACTTTTGTTTGTCAAACTTGAATAACTTATCTATTTAAGTGGTTAGGGTAGACGATTTAAATCAAAGGTTTGCAAATTGAAGTACGCGACTTAATCACGAATGGGAACATTAACATTATTGTACACGATCAAGCTAAATAATAAACGTACTTAGAGTTTATGACACATGTACATATTTTGATGAATTCGATGTAAAGAAATATCAGCGTGGACATTTCTAATTCCATTCGGAATCTAATTATTTTCTGACAGATATAGTGCAAAAATCTATTACAAAGAAACTGTATCAATTTCCCAAATCCTAGATGTATTATTTAATTACTCATAAATGAATTAATAATTAATTAAGAATAACAACATTCAGAATCCTCAGGTATGTATCCCAAAACCATTTAATCAAAGCCTTCTTGGGTCCACCTTTTTTGTTGGATGGGTTACTAAATCACAGTTTTATGTATCTTAATTACCTGCATAATTAAATCAAACTTACTCCACCACATTACATTTTCCCAAATATTCTTGAAAATTATTATTTACATATGTAGCTAACACAACACTGTTCTTTTACTTGAGAAGCTTGGTTTGTTAATGTAAGCCGTATACATAAATCCAAAACTTACATATACATTTGCGTCACTTATTGTCATACATTTGTATATACAGTAAATTATAACAAACAAAGTCTAATGTATTTCACCCGTTATAGCAAACTTGGGCTTTCCTTTTGTAGCTATTTCTTTATACAGTGCGTTATTCACAATACTTGACAAAGATATTACCTCAATTTTTAGGATGAAGGGCTCGTCGATGAATATTTTTAGTATTTTCAATGTGTTCCCCATCCTTTTCTGATATAAAACGAAGTCTTCTTTTCCAGGATTCGAAAACTTTTAGGCACATTTCAGGGGTCACTTTCTTCCACTCGTCATCCAAAACTTTGCAAAGTCCATCAGGAGTGGACGCTTGTCTCTTAAAAAGGGCTTGTTTTAACATTCCAAATCCGAAAAAATCCATTGGTGATGCATCAGGGGACTTCACAGGTATATCTTTATTAGAAATAATTGAGATTCCGAATTTTTCTTTTAATTCGGCTGCGTACTGGGTCGTGATCCGAGCGGTGTGCGAGGACGCCGCGTCATGGTGAACGAACACCTTGTGGGTCTCGCCAGGGTAGAGTTTTGGAATTTCTTCTTCTAAAAGTGGTTTCAAAACCTTGTCCACATAATAGGATCGC